ATGTATGTATGTATGTATTGCAATATACATATTTTATATTTTATATATATATGTGTGTGTGTGTGTGTGTGTGTGTGTGTGTGTATGTATATGTACTACATAAATTACCTACATGTAGAATAACTGAATGAATTTCTAATTTTAACAAATTGGTATTATATATAATTTCTAGTACAAATTATCATAATTCATATATTTATAAACTATATGTTTCGTTAATTTAAAACAAAAAAAGTAATATATACAATAAACAACGAACATGTAAAAAAAGAAACATTTAAAACATGTAAAAAAGAAAATTTTAAATTTTCGATGACATAAATTTTCATAAAGTATATCCGTATCAAATTTTGGAACTGGGAATTATCGGGTTAAGGCCAGTGAATCATCGGAAATCACCATCGGTCTTTATTCCTTTCCTAACTTTCACGTTATCGCATTTACTTGGCTATCATGTGTAATATTAAATTGTTTAGAGTCGATAGGCCTTTTGTTTTTTTTTAATACGAAAAATATAAATCTTCGAAAACCTGAGGAAGGGCCTGAATAGTGTGAGAGTCGATAGGCTACCGCGAAATAAAAGTGGTAGTCTCTTATTTAACATAGTCGACAAGCCGGCAGTTGCTCAGTCGACCACCGACCGTAACAGAGTATTCGTATTTCGAAGTTAATATATCGGTGAACCGGTGGAACTTGGACAGTCTTTGGGAACTTCCACTTGTGAAAAGTGACAGTTGCCTTTTGTCATGGCTTTCTTAGTCTTCACACTGGTACTATTGTCGTCGAGTGAGTCCTTTTTTTTTTCTTTTCTTTGTCTTTTTGGGCCGGTGATTCACGAAAAGGTTAGGCATTCGTGATTCACAATGAAACTTGAATCTCGTTTAGAAAGATACGAAGAATATTTTAGTAACTTAAACATTAAAGAATTTTTATAGAATAATATTAAGAATGTTAATAATAATTGACGAATAATTTTTAATATTTTTAATTCAAAATTTTTTGAAAATTTAAACTCGCTAAAATTAGATTTTTCAATGAAAATTCTTGTAAATGTTGAAGAATTTTTATAGAAAAATTTTTATTTGAAATTATCGCAATAGTTCAATTTGGATTTTCTTTTTTAAGAAAATATTTATGATGTAATATAAATATTGACAAATTTTTATAAAAAAATTTTAATTTGAAATTTAACAATAATTATAATAAGAGAGTTAAGATAAGATTTTTAAAAAATTTTAAAATTTTTAAGATTTCGATTGATGAAAATAATAAATAAACTTCCTAAAATTTTGATTAATATATCAATATTTTTTAAAATTTTTTTTTTTAATATTATTTAACATTACTTATAATAATCTGCATAAAATGCAATATTATTGTTATTATAATTTTGTTTATTAAAGTAATAATAAGGGATAGATATTAAATAGAATATCTAAAAGATATGATATACTTTATCCGATAACGATATCAATAATTAAAGTTGAAACTTAATGCATTAAGATATGATGAACCAACAGTGACTGTCTACTTGCAAACATGTTCAGAATATTATTAAAAATACAACATTTACTTGTTTCTAAACTTTCTTTATATAATGATCGTCAAATAAATTTTAATAAAATTTAAATCTAAATAACATCAATTTTAATGTCATAATATCATAACATAGAAAAAAATTAATCTTATAAAATTTAATATCACCAATTCATTTTCAAAATCAAAGATAAAGATTAGAATAAAAAAAAATTAGAAAAATTAAAAACTAATTATGATTATATTTTAATTGTATATTACCATACATTTCTACTGCTATGTAATAATAATTATTATTAATATCACGAAACTATTTAAAATTCACAAAGAGACCCGTAGGGTAACCGATTGCTTATTCAATTCGGTCAATTCCGTTGCATCGTGGTGTAGCACTGTATGCAAATGACAATTAGAATATACACTGAAGATTCACACCTGGGCGAGATATGTTTGCATGAATCAGAAGTAAAAGCGTTACATAAAATTCACAAAAAAGGAAAGCTAAACACCGATGAGTATACAATTTTCGAATTCATAAGCAAGTGAACGAAAATCACGAATACCTTATTTACGCCAGTGCTGCATAACACGAATGAGTATACAGTTTTCGAATTCATAAGCAAGTGAACGAAAATCGCGAATACCTTCATTTACGCCACTGCTGCCCTCCAACATTTATTTTTTATTAAAATGCTATTGTGCTAAACTTGCATTTCAATAGATTTTATAATTTTGTTTTATTTGTATTTTTATCATTTTGTTCTTTGATAGCAATCGGCAATAAATATATATATCGAGAAATGCAGAAATTCTTTTTTCTGAGCTTCTTTTCGATTTAAAAATAAAATAAAAATTGTTATCATGAAATGGGAAATATATTAGCGAAATATTATGAATTTTAATTTATTTTTGATAAATTATTTTTTTTGCTTTGCTCAGATTTTATGTAGTTTATTTAAAGATAAAATATAAAGTACGTAGTGTATTATTATTATAAAGTTATTTAAGAAAAATAAATTTTAATTAATTTTTTTTAACTTTTATCTAACTATATTTATTTTTTATAATTATTATCTTAACTATATCTATTTTTTATAACTATTATCTTATATATATCTTATATACTATCTCAAGATAAATTATAATAATATAATAAAATTGTAAAGATATAAAAGAAATATAAATTAATCTTGCTAAAATCTTATATTTATTTTTTATTGTTAAAAAAAATTAAAATAAAAATAAAGTAATAATAAAAATACGCAACAATATGAAAAAGATTTAAGTTGATTTAATTAATTTTTGATAATCTGTCTTTTTTAGTCTATTGTAATCTTATATAATAATTTCTATACGTGTGAATGTTAAATGTTTCGAGTATCATTCTGATATGATTTAATAATATGATTAACAAATGTTATCAGCAAATTAACACGAGTTTGCCATTTCGAACAAAGTAAATGGTTTCAGACGTCGTGCTCCGAATATTTTCACCGTTATTTGGAAGAATATACCAATCGTAGGCACTTTTGTAATTAGAATAAGATGAGTTAATTTGATGTTCCTTGAACGAGCTTAAGGTTAATCAGCGCAATTTACCATTTAAGAAATCGAAATTATCAACTGCCCCTCTTTTTATTGAATATAACATTATAATCGAATGTTTGAAATGTAATTTCTTAAACTTTATAATTTATATAATTTATCAATAATTTAATTGTAGTTTTCTTCTAATGAAAGAATTTCAGAATTTCTTCTAAATATTTCCAAAAAGACATAAATAGAAAATTTCAAATAACAATTTAAAAATGATCATTTTAATTATTAATGTTAATTATTATTTGATAATATATATATATATATATATCAATTAATATTATGTTTTTTATTTGATCAATTCAAAAAATGCGAAATAAGACAATATTTGGGAAAATAAGAAATTGAAAAATTAACATTTACTGAAATGTTATTCCTGAATTAAGATTAAAAATGCATATTGAACACTAAATATAATAATAATAAAAGTAAATATAATAGAATTTTAATAAGAAATCAATTTTTTTTTAAATCAAATAACAACAACAAATAACAAGTAATCTATTTTATGAAATGATAAGTCATTTAATCGCAAGGAGATAAAATGTTAAATAGAATCTGCTTAGTATCTTTCTTGTATAAAAAATCGATGTGTTAATATAATTGTTTGCAAAATCGAGGATAAAAAAAATATATGCCATTATAATATCTAGGACGCAATAGCCCGCAATAATTTCGATTGAATGACTTTAATGGTTGATAGTGGAACAATTGAGTGACGTAGAAAATTGCAGACGCATTAAAAACATGTTTTAAAAAAATTTTAATTATATTATTTTTAAATTAATTGAGAAGTAATTTATTTTCGAAATAAGATAATATATTTTTGTAATATTTCAAAAGTATTTGATTATATGAAAAGTAAATAAATGTATTTGCAATTTTTAAATGATATAATTTTATTAATTTTTAAATAATTTACTTAACGAAATTATTTTATGAAATCAATTATTTTTTATGTTGTTTGTTATTTATTTTCGATGAAAATAGTAAGTTTTTAATATACGGAGTCAAATTTTATGTTATCATTGCTTTCGTAATACTAGTACAGTAACATTATTACGTGCTTACAATTATTATTATATTTATTGTTCAATATTCTATAGTTATTCCTAATTTTCCATTAGAAAATAAACATTATTTTCTCAAATAGTAAATTTTCAATTTTTAATTTACTATTTTTTCAAATGCTTGCCTTATCTCAAATTTTTTCAATTAACCGAATATAATTTCCGAATATAAAAATAATATAATTTCATTTGAGACTATTACTTATCAAATAATAAATAGCATTGTTTAAAATTTTATAAAAATAATTTTTAAATTATTATTTGAAAATAAATAAATTTTGTCCAAATGTGCCAAATGTAATATGAAGTTTTAGTTATCCTAAGTCATCCGTTTTCGCTATGCTTTTTTTATATCTTCATTGACTAATAAATATCATAATACAAGTTTAACCTTTTATTTTTTATTTCACTTGTGCTATGCACCTCTTTTTTATATCTTCATTGACTAATAAATATCATAATACAAGTTTAACCTTTTATTTTTTATTTCACTTGCTATGCACCTCTACATAGTATGTATATTTTTCAAAGGGAAATCGTAAATCACAAAGAGGACTTTATTCGATCTTTTGACAAAAAGTATCTCTATTATTAGAATATAATCTGACTTTCATTCAAAGTGACATACTTATTCTAAAGAAAAAAGATATCGATTAAATTACTTTCTATAAAACGAAGCGATGAAGATGTTGATTTAAAACATCTCATCGCTTCGTACATTAATTCACGAAGTCTTTCGCTTGATTTATATATTGGAAATACGCTTTTTATCGATATAAAGTACAAAAATAGTCGCTCAT